CTCAGCATGATGGTCTCCACTTCCATCCAGGTTGCTGCAAACGATGAGAATTTTTTCTTTTTTATGGCTGCATAATATTCCATTGTGTAAATGTACCATAGTTTTTGGATCCAATCATCTGCTGATGGGCACCTAAGCTGTTTCCAAATCCTAGCTATTGTAAATTGTGCTGCTATGAACATAGGGGTGCATATATTCTTTCTGATTGATGTTTCTAGTTTCTTGGGATATATTCCTAGGAGTGGGATTATTGGGTCAAATGGGAGTTCCATTTTCAGTTTTTTGAGGAAACTCCACATTGTTCTCCACAGTGGTTGCACCAGTCTGCATTCCCACCAGCAGTGCACGAGGGTTCCTTTTTCTCAGCAACCTCGCCAATACTTGTCGTTTGTTGATTTGTTGATGTTGGCCATTCTGACAGGTGTAAGATGGTACCGCATTGTTGTTTTGATTTGCATTTCTTGGATAATTAGTGACTTTGAGCATGTTTTTATGTGCCTCTTGGCCTTCCTTCTGTCTTCTTTTGAGAATATTCTATTTAGATCCATTGCCCATTTTTTAATTGGGTCATTTATCTTCCTTTTATTAAGTTGTGTAAGCTGTCTGTAGATGTTGGAGATTAAACCTTTATCAGTGATAACATTTGCAAATATGTTCTCCCATACAGAGGGCTTTCTTGCAGATGACATGATATTGTACATAAAAAAACCAAAAGACTCCATTAAGAAACTAATTGACTTAATAAATGAATTTGGCAATGTAGCAGGATACAAAATTAACACCAAGAAATCTATGGCATTTCCATACACCAATAGTGAACTTGCAGAAACCGAGACTAAAAAGGCAATCCCATTTACCATCACACCAAAAAAATTAAGATACCTTGGAATAAACTTAACTAAGAAGGTAAAAGACCTATACATGGAAAACTACACAACACTGAAAAAAGAGATAGAGGAAGATGTAAACAGATGGAAGAACATACCATGTTCATGGATTGGTAGAATCAACATCATTAAAATGTCCATACTTCCCAAAGCAAACTATAAGTTCAATGCACTCCCAATTAAAATACCAATGGCATATTTCACTGACCTAGAGAAAACTCTTCAAAAGTTCATTTGGAACAACAAAAGACCCCTAATAGCCACAGCAATCCTGAGAAAGAAGAGTAAAGTAGAAGGGATCTCAATACCAGATTTCAAACTGTATTACAAAGCCACTGTTCTCAAAACAGCCTGGTACTGGCATAAGAACAGACATATAGATCAATGGAATAGAATTGAGAACCCAGATATCAACCCAAATCACTATGCTCAGTTAATATTTGACAAAGGAGGCACGAAAATACAATGGAGTCAAGACAGTCTCTTCAATAAATGGTGTTGGGAAAATTGGACAGATACATGCAAAAGAATGAAACTGGATCACCAACTTACACCATACACAAAAATAAACTCAAAATGGATACAGGATTTAAACATAAGACGGGAAACCATAAAAATACTAGAGGCATCCACAGGCAGCAAAGTCTCAGACATATGCCAAAAGAACTTCTTCACTGATACTTCCCCTAGGGCAATGGAAGCTAAAGAGAAAATAAACAAATGGGACTACATCAAAATAAAAAGTTCAAATTCTTTATAGAAAGAATGACTTAAAATACAATCCACCAGACTTGTATACATGCATAGAAGTACAACCAATGGACACAAAACTCTGGGGAGGGAGGGCATGTATGCGGGGGGCGGGGGGGCGGGAATGGTAAGATATGTACACAGATAATAATTTAATTTAAAAAAAATCAGGGAAAAAATAAATAAAATAAAATAAAATGCAGTCCACCACCTTTTGTTTTGGCAGGTGATTCTGAGATAGTTGGTAATCTGGTAACTGAGGAAGCAATTTCTTAAAGCAGTGGTTCTCCACAGGGTGTGTCTGTCCTCTAGGGGATATTTGTCCATGTCTAAAGACATTTTTTGGTCCTCACAGCTGGAGTTGGGGGCAGGCATGCTGCTGGTATCTAGTGGGGAGACGCTAAAGATGCCTGCTATGATGCACAACACCACAAAAAAATGTGCATGTAACTCTTATTATTAATTCAGCAAACAATTATGTGGAACCTGTGTAATCTTAAGGCATTATGCGGGCCCTGAGGCTGGGGTGCTCGCTTGGCAGCATCTAGTGGAGGAATGTCAGGTCTACAGACAGTACAGTGAAATGTAGGGCATGCTGAGTGCCTGAGTGCAGACACAAACCAATAGGGGGAGGATATGAGATTGGGAGGATGGACTTGGGGAATGGGAGGAACTGATATCATGTCCCCCAAGATGACTGCAAGCTGCATATTCATTCTCAAATGTAAAACTGAAATAACTTATAGGAAAGATCACCAAACCCAAGGCACTTTTCCAGCAATCTAATTTTCTGTTTTTATCGATATAAACACATCTTCAGAAAGAAGTAGCCTACTGCTTTCTTTGTGACTTTGTTCCTTATTATGATTATTTTCCTAACAATATTTTCCAGTATCAAAGACATATTTTATTTCCTTCTTTGCCTTTAGTTTATTCTCTCTATTTTTTTAAATATTGATAAACACACAGTATCATTCTGTAACTACTAAGTAGCTAAGCATTACACACTTGGCCTCTTATTTTTCCTCAGATAGCAACTTAAATTTATTCACAATTTTCTAAACATCTGTTAGTTGGACTCTCTTTTCCAATACCGACTGCCAAGTATGTAACAGAAACAATTGCATTTTTACTCCCTGCTCCTCTTTTCCAAGCCGAAGGAAGCCATTGGACAGCACAGAGATGTTTCTGAAGTAAAATAAGAAGAGAAAATGGCTTTCCCCCCAGAAAAGTTAGTGGCCAGATTAAAGGTCACTAGATTCGGTTTACAATGCTGAAATTGCCTAACGATCATTTCTACAGCAAAAGCCACAGACAATTATGCATTCTCCAGGCCAGCAATGCGGATGATGAAACTGTCTGGCACACTATCATTGACGAATGTGAGCTCATAGCTCAGCTAAAACTGAAACCAGTTATGAAAGAGAACTAGCAGATGCCTCAGGCCTGCACACAGATATTCCAGGCCATCTTGCAAATCAAGTAATTAACATGCATCTTTGAGGCCCTGCTTTGTGAATGTCTCTGCACAACATGAAGTGGCAATTAATTATGTGTTTGTTTGTTTGTTTGTTTGTTTTTAATTCTTGTTTTAATCTGGTTAATAACACCTCTCTGAGTCTTTTTTTTTTTTAATCTATGAAATGGGGAAAGTCATACCAATCTCTCAAGATCATTATTTGTTGGTCAGGAAAACAGGACCACGTCAGTTATTTTAATATAGAGAATTTAATATAGAGAATTCCTAAGCAGTTCCTAGAGAACCAAAGAAGCAAAAAGGGGGACAGTGAAGATGCAGTTATCACCCCAAAGGCCGGAAGAGCTGAGGGCAGAGGTTGGAGCTATTAGAACTTAGAAGTTTGAAAGAAAAGCCCTGTAGGGCTGAGACACCCACTTCAGGGGGAAGGAGTGACAGCTTCTGAGGAACCGTCATCACTGGAGCTTTAGGCCGCAAAGCTGAGCCTCTGCTGATTCCTGGAAGGTGCAAATGAGAGTTATACATGAACCAATGCCATTGTCAGGGTGACACGCCCTCACCAGGTGACACTCTCAAGTACCAGCAAGTATGCAGGAAGGAGCACATCTCTCCTCCTGCTCAGCCTCAGTTTCCCCCTGGCACCTCTAGCAGAGGAGAAACGTGATTTCAAAGAGCCCCAGGTTCACAAAGCAAGAGTTGGGAGGCTGAGTTCGGAGCTGAGAGACAGTGGCTTATTACACGGCCATTATGTGATTTATCCAGTGCTTGCTGTGTGTCCGATTGTGAGGCTCTCTGCTAGATGCTGGGAGTCTGAAGAATTCAATGGAAAACTTATGAATAAAGTGCACAGCTCAGTGCCTAGTGCAATGTAGACCCAGCTCTCCTCTCTCGGGCCCAGTGAGAAACATAAAGGAAAAAGGAACAGAAAACAAAACAGCAGCTCCTGCCTTTTAGGAGTTCTGCATTATGAGGTAAATCAAAAAGCAAAGTGTAAGATCATACATGTTTATACACTTTAAAAAGTATTTCAGTCGTAACTGTTTTAAGAATTCAGGAGCAAACAAATGTTTTGGGGACTGTCAGGGAAGCCTTCACCAAGAAGAGGGGAATGAGCAGCACCTTAGTACTTAGACAATGTCCCAAAGGGGTGAGACATTATAAATGGGGGGAAGCGTGTGCATTACTCAAGCATGGTGGGAACTTCCTGGGTGCTTACACTGCAGCCCCAACCTCAGGGAATGGAGGACGGCCTGTGACATGGAGCGTGGAAGATGGGGCCGGTAGAACATCGCTTGACACTCTTCTAGGGGATAGATGAACCACTGGAGAGTTTTTAATAAGTAGAAATTGTCTATAAAAAAGTGATCTTTGAGGTCCTTATCAGATCTAACACGATACCTTACATATAGTGAAATATTTGTGGGGGGGAAAGCATTACATTGAATAGGATGGGAGGGAATGGGATGGAATTTTTAAGGCAGGTCTTAATTTTGAAAATCTGCATATAGATTCTTTTGTTTTAATTATAATAACAAATACTTTGTGAAGTGTTTTGTGCAATCAATGTGCAATTTTAAGTCTAAGTTCAGGAAATAAAAAGATTCAAGCAATGATAAAAATTTAACAAGTGAAGATGTAACCCAGCAAAAAGACACTATGCTCCTTTCTCAGACTGAACGTGACACTGAGCAGCGTTGCCTTCACAGAGACTGTGAGGGGTTGCTGAAAGTATCAGGGACCTATGCAAGGAATGTATAGGGCAGTATGTTTCTGAATCAATGTTAGTGACTCACATAGAAAAAATAATATCTTTGTGTGAATTTTGAATATGAGTCTGCAGAGTATATGGTGTACTCACACCTAATCTGCTGTTTTTCTCTTGGCAGATCCATCACAAGATTTTGGCTTTTCTATTGACCAGTGTTCCCAACATTTAAAATCAAATATCAACATTAGATTTGGAATCATTCTGAGTAAGTAAAACTATTGACATGAAATAAAACAGCCTCTTCCTGGCTCAGACACCCAATTACGTGTATTAACTGGCGTGGCTGGCTAGCCCCTGCTCCCCAGCACTCTGTGGAATTAACTCTATTTCCATCTTCCTCTTCAGTTCTCTCTCTGGGTAACATCCAGATAGAGTAAAACTCTTATTTAATGTTGTAATTTTTGTACTGAAAAGACTCTAGGCACTCATTTGGATGATATAAGCACCTGGGATCAGTATATCTGGCAGAGAAAGAAAATATTTCGAGCTTAAGTATTGATATTTGCTCAGGAGAGAGTTTTTGTTTAGTTATTTCAGCAACAAACAAGTCTACTACCAGCAACATGACTAGTCTTTGTGTTATTTCATTTTCCAGACAGCTCATATAAGTTCTTCGACCTTACCTCAGTTAAAGGCATGCAATATCTTCTCACTCCACCCCAATCAATGAGCTTAAATGCTTTCTGATTGTTTATATTTGTATGGTCATGCCATCACAATTATATTTGTATGGTCATGCCATCACAATATTGCTATAGTTACTGGAATATCTCCTTTCTAAAAGAGTTTATCAAAACCAGAGCAGAGAATTTAATAAACTTAGCTTGGGGAGTCAGTCCACAGAGATGGAGGGAACATTCCAAGAGTCCAAAGACTCTCATGCATCCTTGTATTTCTCAAACCTCACACAACATCTGGACCCTATAGCAGCAGCTCAATAAATGCTATGAGGAGAGGCAGAGAAATGCAGAATGAAAGGAGAATGGAGCAGAACATAAAAAGAGGAATGGAAGAAAGTTTCAGAAAGAATTGGAAGCCAGCACTGCAGAGCATCCTGAAGCTTCCTGTGTGACTATGCTACATCTGCCCAGCAACAGTGCGGGTGTGCAGGCTTGCCCACACCCCAGCGCTATCAGGGAATACCTGATACTATGGGGCTAAAAAGTGATAGAAGCCAGACTCCTTCCACATTAAGGGGCCATGGCATCAGGGTAGGGGAGCGCAGCAGATAAACTACCTCCTCCAAGCAAATCAAGTTTGTGAAAGCACCTCATCTCATACTCAGGGCTGGCACCACAATCCCCTGCACCACTGCCCACATGCTGTTTTACCAAGAAAACAGTTCCCTATGCAGCACAAACTGCTGGAAATGCAAGTTCTTGGGGCTCATACTTGTATAAATTGTGAATGCTTTGATATGCAGAAAAACCCACACTCTTTTCTTTTAGGAGAGGACATCAAAGGGTTGTTTCTTGATGCAAGTCTCCTGACGGGAGGAGAGTCCGTTTTGAATTATTCCTATCCCATCTGTGAAGAGGATCTTCCCAACTTTTCTTTCTGTGGAAAAAGGAAAGGGGGTAAGTTGTCTGTCTTTCTCACTGACTGCTGAGCCCAGGAACAAGATCTCTTCTGAGGTCAGGACACCTTGGGGGGATCTGGGTCTGACCCTCACCTGAGGACAAGTTTCATCTCATATGTCAGCATCTAAGTGCTATGTTGTATGCTGTTACATAACAATAATCCTAAGGCTCATCCACAGGGCCTACCTGACAAGGTGAGTGTGAAAATCAAATTAAACACCTACATATAAGGTACTTTATAAACACAAGTGTGTTAATTGTGGCACTTTATTTATAAAAATAAAAATAAGAAAAGGAGGGTTGGCAACAGAAAGAATCAGTAGCTTCCTGAAATCCATTGCTGTTCAAAGTGTTTCCAAGTTTCTCCTCAGCAATCTTTTTACTGGCAAGGTCTCCTCAATATAGGAATGGATTCTGAGAAAGAAAAAAAAGGAAGGAAGCTTTCTGACTGTCAGCATTTTACTGTAGTCTTTCTCACTTGAGTCATTGACTGATGGGGCAGTAGGTGGCTACATTCAAAGTACAGATGTATAAAACCCATTGTATTATTGCTCTTTCTCCACCCACTAGGCCCCATCCCTGCCACCCATACCTCAGTAGTGCCTAGGAGCACCCCATCCAGCTTGTTCCCTCTTCGCATCTCCTCCCAGTTTTTAAGAACTGTGAGTGGTTTCAATCCTATATAATAAAAGGATAATATGCAAATTGACTGAATGGTGGAATGACCAGACCACCAGCAGCCCCTCAAGCTGGCAAGCTCCACCCCTGAGCAAGTCCCTGGAACCCAATCAGGGGTAGAGCCATCTGGCAAACTGGCCTTGTCCATGGCCCCTTGCCCAACTGGACCACCCTCAATGGAGGCGTGACAGCTGGACCCCACCAGTGCATGAATTCATGCACTAGCCTCTAGTAGAATTAATAAAACAGAAGAGATATTATCCTCCAAATTAAAGTGTTCAATTCCATTTGGCAGCTCAAAAAGCTGGTTTTGCCTTATTCAAATGCTGGACAGCCCTTCAGACATTTATTTGCTTTGTTGTCATGGAGTTGATATCTGCATAGACATGCTGAGAAGCCAGAACTTGGGATATTGCCAAGAAATTTCATATAGCATAAAATGATCAGTAAAGTAACATACAAATGCTACATGAACAAATAATTATGTAAACTACTAAGCCAGAGAAACTAAAACCTTAAATTCAGAGGCTTTTTGAGTAATTACATTTTTTTTAACCCACCCAGCAACCTAGGGCAGGAATTATGCTGTTGAAAAGAAATGATGACTTCTAAGATTAGAATTAAGAGAAAAACATGCACCAAGGCGGACCTAACGCAATACAAACCCAAGCACAAGCTGCTGCTGACATTTTAAATTGAAGCAAAGTCCCTGTATGTGTTTTTTTTTTTATTGGGGGGGGGGCACATTTAAATAGGTAAACTTAATTTTATCAATTATACATGCAACCATCATTATATTTCTACTAGAGGCTTGGTGCACAAATGCATGCATGGCTGGGGTCCCTCCCAGCTAATTGTGTCTGATCAGAGCCAATCCAGGTTGGATGGCCAGGGGGAGGAACCTTGGGAGGTTGGCTGACTGCAGAAAGTTGGCTGTGGGAGCCCACTGATCACCAGGGAGCATCTCTTACATTGAGTGTCTGCCTCCTGATGGTCAGTGTGCATCATAGCTACTGGCCAGTCATTCAGTCATAATGGTCACTTAGGCTTTTACATATATAGACTAGAAGCCTGGTGCATGAAATTTGTGCACTTGGGGGTGTCCCTCAGCCCAGCATGCACCCTCTCCAATCTTGGACCCCTCTTACAATCTGAGACTGCTGGCTCCTAACCATTGGCCTGCCTGTCTGCCTGATTGCCCCTAATCACTCTCCTGCCAGCCTGAATGACACCTAACTGCTCCCCTGCTGGTCCAATTGCCCCCAACTGCCCTCCCCTGCTGGCCTGATCGCTCCCAACTGCCCTCTCCTGCTCTTCTAATCACCCCTAACTGTCCTCTCTGTAAGCCTGGTTGCCCCAACTGCCCTCCTATAGAGCCCTGGTCAACCCCAACTTCTCTCCCCTGCCAGCTTGGTCACCCCCAACTGCCCTCCCTTGCAGACCTGATCATCCCCAATTGCCCTCCCCTGCAGGCCTAGTTACTTCCAACTGCCCTCCCATGCCAACCTGATTGCTCCCAACTGCCCTCTCCTGCAGGCCTGGTTTCCCCCAACTGCCCTTCCCTGCCAGCCTGATAGCCCACAACTGCCCTCTTCTGCCAGCCTTTTTGTGGTTGCCATCTTGTTGTAACATGGGAGCAGCCATCTTGTGATGATGTGGGGGTGGCCATTTTGTGGTGGCCACCTTATGATGACATGAAGATACGAGGGTACAAGGGTGTGAGGGTCACCTAGGCTTTTATTAGTATAGGCAATGAGCGTTATAATCTCCCTTTGCAACTTTCAAGATTCCCAGATCAATTAAATCAGAATCTCTGGGGGTAAGAACCAAGCCAGGTGATTTCAATGTTCAGCCAAAGCTGAGGAAGGAGAAGGACCTTAGCCCAGGTAGGTATTGCACAATATGTGCCAAGGACCTTTCCAGACAATAACTACTTTACTGTTTGTACCAACCTTATAACATATAGAAACTACTGCTATTAGCCTCATCTTATATTATAAAGATGTAATATGCAAATGGTCATTACGCCGTGAAGTATAACAACTGACCATGTAACGACCAGATCACGGATCAGCAGGAGGTTGGGAGAGTGAGCTACAAGTGGGTGGTGGAGAGCTACAGGAGGGGGCAGGGCAGCAAGCTCTGAGGGGGAAAGACAGGGTTAGGGGGTGGAAGGAGCTACAGGAGGGCGGGGCAGCGGGCGGAGAGCTACTGGAGGGTGGCAGCGAGCTACAAATTTGTGTGCCGGACTATTAGTGTTAACATATAAAGAAACCAAGACCTAGAGTGGTAAGTAACTTACCCTAAGTCACAAAGCCAGCAGGCAGTGAAGCTGGGTTTCTCTCCAAAAAGTTGGGCTCCAGAGACATGCTCTTATCCTGTCTGCTACCTATCCTCTTGTAACAAATGAAACTGCTGGAGAAGTATATCTCATTTTAGCGCTCCACTAAGACTGAGAAGTGATCAAAAGACATGACCAAATTATAGAAAGTCATCATTTTGGGGTATAACCAGCCATTATATAAGGCAGTGTTTCTCCAAGTGTGGTCCCCAAACAAACAACATCAGCAGCATCCAAGAAATTTTAATAATGCAAATTTTTACTTTCTCCCCAAACTTACTAAATTAGCAACTCTGGGTTTAGGGCTTACAATTATGTACTTTAGGTCACCAGTCAGCAAACTTCTATAAATGACAATAGCAGACATTTAGGCTTTGCAGATTATAATTTCTCTACTCAACTCTGCTGTTTTATAGTATGAAGGGGGCCGCAGACAATATGGAATGAATTGTGCTGTTTTGTTTTCTCACCTCTATCTAAGGTTTGCCCCTAAAGCTCTCACTTTCTGACATAGGCTTGATTTCCTTTCTGAATGAGTGCCCATGGAAATGCCCACTCTCTTCAGGGAAAGCTGACATTTAGCCATGGAGGTGTGACCCATTCCCACAGCCCCAACAAGCTTACCCCACAGTCGTCTGACTTCTCCCGAAGTTAGCACAAAGCAACACCACAAACAAGGCACCCACTGCCTGTCTAGCTTGGAAATGAGCTGAGTTCACCCCTGTCTCTTTAATTCTCTTCTGATTTATCAAGAGTTTAACACACCTTGATGTCCATTTTCAACAAAATGGGGTTCATTTTGTTCAACAAATTTTCTAGAATATCCCATTTTAGGAAGATAAGAGTGAAACAATAAGTGAAATAGAGCAAAAAAATTGATTGTAGGATTTATAATCTGGGAAGTATAGATAAGCCCCTCTAAGACCCACTCACCCTCCCCCCCTCAAAAAAAAAAAACATGTAGAGTGAAAATTATTCAAAGAAATAGGGGGCTCATGTTTTGGCTGTCTATAATATATTGTAAAGGGCTATGTAAAGAGCAAACTCTCAAATGGATATGAACCTGGAGATCTGGACAAAGAGTAAATACCCTGTTTCCCCGAAAATAAGACAGTGTCTTATATTAATTTTTTCTCCCAAAGTTGTGCTAGGTCTTATTTTCAGGGGATGTCTTATCTTTCCATGTGCTAGGTTTTATTTTCGGAGGATGTCTTATTTTTGGGGAAACACAGTAGAATAAAGATAGGATCTTCACTCTTGATGACAAAAGACACATCAACTGTTAAGCTTGTTTCAGCCCAAGCCTCTTGGAGCTCTAGTCAGGGTAGGTCAACCCAGGCAAAGGGCAGTGGCTTCACAGTACTAAGTAGTAATTAGCTTTCAAAAATGATTTGTTTATTGTTTTATGGATTGATTTGTGGCTATCAATTATATCTCCCCCTTTGCCAAAACCAGCGTGCGTGCGTGCGTGTGTGTGTGTGTGTGTGTGTGTGTATGTGTGTATACACTGGGTACATACTATGATTATAAAGTAGGACACTGTGATTGACATGGTTGAAACACGGTGAAAACTCAGGCAGACTTGATCTGACATGTGTGACAGATCCCAGAGAACTGCTGGTGCGGCATGCACCACCCTGTACATGAGCACTAAGTACTTTTAGTAGGATCAAAATCGATTATGAAATACATGTACCAGGTATTAGTACACCTCACTTCGTGCAGTATGTAAGCTACAAAAAAAAATTGGTTGTGGATTTAATTTTCATGCATCTGGAAAGCTTGCAATTAAATATTGCAGTGACACCTTTTATAGGCTGAAGAATCATTTAGTTAAAAAATAATTGTTCCCTGATGTATCTTTTGTGTAAATCTGAACTTCCCTACTTTCACTGTTTGTTCAAAATGGGGAATACATCATAATTAGAAGAATTTCAATGTATGACAGAGTAGATCCCATGAGAAATGTATTTAAAGT